CTTTCCTCTCTTGAAGCTGCGAGGCATCGTACCAAAGGCGTCCAGCCTGAGAGGCAGGCCAGAGAGGAGAGACAAATCTTTTCTCAAAGGAAATGTTGTGGTTTTGAGACGTTCGTTTCACATCTGTGGTTGGCGTTTCCCAGGGTTCTCAGAGGTGAAGGCAGGGTCAGCCCTATGTCACCAAATAAGGTTCACCAGTGACCTTAGCAACAGGCTCATTGCCCATTGGCTGCCACTGCTGCTGCCTGCCAGTGTGGCCTCCCGGAGACCAGCGTTGAAGCTGGGCTGAAGCTCCCACATGTGCAGGTATGCAGCCACTCCCTGTCACAAGTCGCTGCCCTTTGAAGCAGCCACAGATAGGTAGAGAGCTCTGGGCAAAGGTGCCAGAGGGCAGAACTGCCTGGGTGCCTGCGTTTCAAAGTCCACCTGGCCAGCACTCCACTGACTGTGTCCTCACACAGCACCGATCCACTCCCTCAGCTTGGTGACCTAGTCCCAGCTTGCCAAGACGAGCTGTCCCCCTCACCCTTCACCATGTCCTGGCTGACCACCTTGGAACTCCGTAGCTCCCATTTCACAGTTCCGCTCGTTCCTCCTTTGTACCGGCACTCTGCTAAGCGCCTTTGACGCCTCGTCTAACTCTCAACAACCTGTGCGTCAGTCAGCCCCATTCTACAGATGAGGAAACTGAGGCTAAAGGGAGTCAGGTAACTGGGCCAATGTTGCGCCAGTAAGTATGAAAGCCACTATTTAAACAGGTCCGGATCCCACACTATTAACTGTTGTGTAGTATTGCCAGTCACTCGGTATCTCTTGCCTCAGTGGCTTCATCTGTGACATGGGGATGATAACATCTACCCACAGGGTTGGGGTAAGGATTGTGCAGAGTGACTTTCTGCACAGGAGCCTATTGCAGAGTGGCGGCTTGCCTGGTGGTAGCACACCTTGGCACTGTACCCGTGGGCCCGGCACTTCTCGGCGTGTTTCACGGGCAGCTTGCACGTTCCTCTCCCACGGACTGTGCTGCTGACACGCTGAGGTCTGTGGACCAGACTTCTCTGTGGCCCTCGTATTTGGCTTCCACTTCCTCATTCTCACCCTCCTCTCACCCCCACCCAACTGCATCTCTGAGGGAGGAAGGCCAGAGAGGAGCCTGCTGCTAAGAGGTCCCAGCCTCTGGGTGCCAGAGAGGGGGACGGCGCGGCTGGGCTGCAGGGCACAAGGTTCTGAGGGCAGAAGGTGGGCCGGTCAAATGGCAGTGGCCAGCATACCTCATTTCCTCTATCCCAGACAATGCTGGAGTGTCACAGCACTGTTTCCCTGAGAAACATTTCAGAATTAAACAGTCCTTAAGTGATCTCGAAAAGATGGAAATGCATCTACCCTATAACCCAGCAACCCCACTCCTCAGAATCTCCTCTAACCAGACTGCTACCCATGTGTACCAGAATGTCCACACAGCACCAAGAAGAGTCCAAATGCCCACCACCACTGGAGAAGACGAATAAACCACACAACATTCCTGCAGTGAAAATGAAAGACCCACAGCAACTTGCAATAACTGTAATGTTGTATGGAACTGTCATAATGGGTAACTCACACCGACATAATACTGAGTAAAACACATGAAAAAACACATATATAATTTCTTTCATGAAAAGTTCAACAACTGGACTGTATTCTTTAAGGATACATGGAAGACGAATAAACCACACAACATTCCTGCAGTGAAAATGAAAGACCCACAGCAACTTGCAATAACTGTAATGTTGTATGGAACTGTCATAATGGGTAACTCACACCGACATAATACTGAGTAAAACACATGAAAAAACACATATATAATTTCTTTCATGAAAAGTTCAACAACTGGACTGTATTCTTTAAGGATACATGCAGAGGAGGTAGAACTAAAAAAAAAAAAAAAACAGACATTATTATCACAAAGCCGATTTAACCGTGCCCATGGGAGGGGGAGGTTGGGGTTGGGGTTAGGAGGGTTGCCCAGGAGTCTTTGAGGGTGTTGGCATTGTTTTATCTCTGGACCTGGTGGTGGTTATACAGATATTTGCTTTATATTTTATACTTACTAAACCGAACATATGTTTTGTGCATTTTTCTGGCATAATTATTGTTTTACAATAAAAAACGAGAGTGTATTTATGTCAGTGCCAGCACCGAGCAGTGCAGTGAACAGAATTTGATATAAGCATGTAAGGCACAGGAAAGCAATGCTGAACCACAGCTGTGACTGCAGCCTGAGGAGCCTTGGCAATAACGGAAGATAAAGACCAGTATGCAATTTAGGATTGAAGGACATCCTTGGACACGTCACCACAGCCGGCAAAGATCGGCTGGTACTGGTGGGAACGGGCTGGAAGACAACTTGGTCAAGGCCTGTCCGGACTAAAGGGGATCTGAAGGGGCAGAAGACACGTGCAAATGACCATGCCTGAGACCCAGCCCCTCTTAGCCCCCGTAGAGCGTTGATTCAGCTGGACTTCCCACCGCAGCACCCCCTCTTCAGATATGCATATGTTTGTTGATTATCTGCCATTGGGCCCTGCCCCTTCAGAATTCGAAGAAGAAAATGGCTTTCAGCAGTGGCTGAGACAGGACCCTATGGGATGCATAATTAGGCCTCTGAGGCCACAGGATGAGCTTTCCTGACTCTGTCCCCTATGGGACTGATGTTTATCTAAGGTTGGAAGCTTGTTTTATTCATTCTTATTTCCCTAGTCAGGAATTGGCCATGGGCAACAGTTAATAAACGTTTTTTTTGTGTGTGAGCAGGTGTGTAGAGTGTATGCTGCAGAGACTAAGGCCTCATGTGGTCCCAGAGAGGCGGTCCACCAGGCTCCCTCCTTCTCTGGTCCATTTCCAGAGAGCTTCCTCAGGGGTGCACAGGGTTGATGCCCACTGGCAGTCCCTCGGGTATTAGAGATGACCCTCCGTTTCCTTCTCCAAGCAAGATATCACCAGTTTCCATGATTGTCCAGTCGCCCTCAGCATTCTGGTTATCCAGTATGGAGAGGCAACAAAAGCATCCAGATGTGGTCTGAACAAGCAGAACCATGGATGCGGATGGAAAATTGGGGTTTGCGTGCTTTGTCGGTCAATGTATCCTAACTGTGATGGTGACAGCTGCTGCCATGGCCTCCAACACGATTGGAAGATCTAGGGTTGCCGCTCATCTTCTTTCTTCCTTTGGTGTCCTCATGGCCTTCCCACAGATACTTTTTTGATGTAAAACTCCATGTGAGGTCCTTGTCACCAGTGTTATATTTCTCCTCAACTCTCCTGGAGACTCCTTGAGAGCTGGCTAGTGGTAGACACTCCATAGGTGTTCGCTCATATTATTTACTTTATTGTTTTATTATTTGAATGAACAAGCGTGAGTTCAATGTCATTAACTGAGCACATGCTATGTGTCAGGCACAGCTAGGTGCCAGAACAAAGCTGTGAACAGAATAGGCCCGTCCCTGCTTCCCAGACGTCCCAGACACTAGGAAGACTTGTTGATTGAAAGGCAAACTCTGATCGAACTCATTGTGATCAACGCTGCCACCACAAGACATTCCCTGGTTGCTCTCTGTGTGTTCAACTCCGAGTACTCCATCCCAGCCCTCCAGTGCTGGCAGGTGGGAGTTGAGGAAGACACCACTGTGAGAGTGAAAACACACTGGATTCAGAGCAAATTGACTTGAGATCAAGTCCTAGCTCTACCACAAACCTACTGTGTGACCATGGATGAGTTAACTTGACCTCTCTGAGCCTCAGTGATAAGTGAAATGGGGATCACAATACATCAAGAGAAGATCAAATAGGGTCAACACACTTTACAACTCCAGGGAGTGCTGTTCACATTTTAGTCTATGGGACCGCTGGTTACCTGGAAATAAATGAGAGCACCCATGCTGTGTGACCTGAAGTTAACAATCAGTAAATGGTAGCTAGCATTTCTGCACAAATTAGAAGGAAGCAGGATCACTCACTATAGGCCAGCAGGCTGCACAGGGTTTGGCCAGGCTTTGTTCTTCAGGGAAGGGCAGGGCTCAGAGAAGTGCAGGCTGTGATACAAGCAAATGCCAGGAGGCGGGGACTCCCAGGGCAGGTCTGGGAGAAGCAAGGCTGGTGAGGGAGGTGGTCTCGAGGCCTGAGTAAGGAGTTCTCTAGGAACAGAGAAAACACTGGAAGCTGGCATGGAGCAGGGGTGGATGAGACTAAGGTAAATACTTTAATTATTGAGTGCAAAGGATCGTAGAGAGCTACTTGTCCAGCTCCTGTGAGCGTTTTATGAAAGGAAGGATGGTTTTCATGCAAAAGAGACTCTAGAAAACGTTTTCCTTAGTAAAAAAAAAAAAAAAAGCTCAAAGCCACAGTCTGTGGTGGTTGGGGGAAGGACATCCTGTGGTCCGGTGGCTCTGTCTCACGTCCAGTGTGAGCTCCCAGGCAGTGGCTCAGAGAAAGACAAGTCTTTGTCTTCCATCCCGGGCTGTTGAATCTGCTCAGACACAGCAGTGTGGTCATCTGCTCATCCCAAGGCACCCAGGGTTGCGATCCTTCCAGCATCTCAGTCGATGCAGCACCGCATTTTCTCAGGTGTTATCTCCCCCGAGACTCACAAACCCTGTGAGGCATGTTAGACAAGAGCTATTATACCCATTGTACAGATGGAGAAACTGAGGCCACAAGTGGTCTAGTGGCTTATTTGAGGCTACACAGCTAGCAAGTGGCAGAGCAGGGATTTTAAGCAGATCTGGCCAAAATCCAATTTAGTGATTTGTCCTCTAAACTTTTTTCCTTCTTGTCCTAGCTTTTCCTGAGATAACCTGGATCCCCTTAGTGAGGCCAAGGACCGAGAGTGCTGTGAGTATTACGGGTGCATGAAAAGGACACAGAACCCTGCCCTGGGGGTCTGAAGCCAAGCCCTGCAGGCCCTGACTAGATGTGCCCAGTGGCCTCCTGGAGGACAGCTCTTCCAGAGCGACTCAGAGCCAGCACCGTCAGAGGTCTGGGGAGTGGGTCTAAGGAGGCAGCCATTTCCTGTATCACATCCAACAGATGCACTCTCCTCTGGGCATCCTTTTGGCCCCTCGCAAGCCGTGGAGGCCCACTCTGTACCCGGGGCTCCGGCTTCTCAGTGCCTCCCAGAACAAAATAGGGTCTCTCACCGAGGGGCTGTGGGCTCTATAAGACTGACTCTAACCAAGGGATTTTGGGCAGCTGCATATCCCCCAGGTAGTTTCGCAGTATTGCCGTTGTATCAAATCACCATAAACTAAGTTGCTTAAAATAACGCAAATTTGTTATTTTATAGTTCTGTAGGGCAGAAGTCCACAATGAGGCTAACAGGACTAATGTCAAGGTGTCAGCCGGGCTGCATTCCTTTCTAGGGATTCCAGTAGAGAACCTGCTTCCTTGCCCTTTCCAGCTTGGCCTTGGCTTGTGGCCCCTTCCTCCATCTTCAAAGCCAGCAAGTCAAGGCCGGTCAAGTCTTTCACACAATGCCATCTCTTTGGTTCTGATTCTTCTGCCTCCTTTTCCCCCATTTAAGGACTCTTGCAATTACATTGGACCCATCCAGATAATCCAGGAGAATGTCTTTATTTTGAAGTCGGCTGATTAGCAACCTTAATTCCATCTGCAACCATAATTCCCAGTTGCCAGGTGACACATACTCATAGATCCCAGGCATTAAGAAGTGGATATCTTTGTTCCACCATGGACCATTATTCCGCCTACTTCTCTGGGTTCTCCAAGGGACCCATCCTCACACATAGACAGGGGGCCAGGCCAGACCAGTCAGGATGTGCTGGCCACTGTCACAGAGATCCATTCTGCCCAGGTCCCCTCCTACCTGCCTGCTCCTCACTCAGCTCAGCCTGTCCTTTCTCCTCTGTACCCATCCTCTGCTCCCAGTCTTAGGCAGAGAGGAGCTGGGCAGGAGGAGCCAGGGGTTGTGGACACAGAGAGGCGGGTATAAGGCTGAATGCGCCAGGGCTGTAGGTGGCTCCCGGGGGCTGAGCACTTCCCACCCGGAGACCCTGCTCTTTCCAAGGACTAGGGCCAGAGCCTAGCTTCTGAGGACTTGCTCAGAGCCAGAGGAGTGGGTGGCCAAGTACCGGAGTCCTTCCACCTCTGCGTGCCTGGCTGCCCTTGATAGCCAGAGTTCACCTGGCGCCTTTCCTCGGGTGATGACTGACTGCCTGTCTGCCCTATTCATGTCCTCTTTTCTCTCTTCCCTAGTTTGCTCCGTGAAGGCCTGGGGGGATTAAAGCCCAGCAGGAGGGCCGGTGGGCAGCAAGGGAGGGCGGAACTGGACAAGGCCTTCAGCCTTCTAAGTAGGGTGACCAGCCTGCCCTAGTTTGACCAAGACTTTCTCAGTTTTAGCACTGAAAGTCTCATATCCCAGGAGATACTTTGGTCCTGAGCAAGGCCTTTTGAACCTTCTAATCTATTCTAGGTCACATCTGCAGCCTGGACAGCTGGCCCTTTGGACCCTGGGATGCCAACCTCTGCTTAGTATCAGCGCAGAGAAACCCGGGAGCGGAGGAAGGGACCCAAGCCAGTGCCGGGCAAGCGCAGACTCCCGCGCGCGACGTTCCCGACGGAGTCACCGTTGGTGGAGACCATGCCCGTGTCTGCACAGAACAGAGCTCCTAGATATATATACAAGGGAGTAAAAAATTATATTTGCGCCCTGTCTCTAAAAATTTAACAGCCTGATGACTCCTGGGTGGTGTACTGGAGGTGGCTCAAATCGTTTTTATTTACGCATCTATATTTCTTACTCTGTACAATTAAACCATGTTCCTGTTACTTGTGTACATTTTTAATAAAAGAAAGTAATTAATAAAAAAAAGAAAGCAAACACTGACTCAGCCTTCCATCTCCAGCAGTCCTGCAGAGGGGCACGGATGGGTTGTGCTGTATGTCGTAGGACACAGTGGCCCTTATTCTGGGGCCTCTGGCTGCCGGTCGGTCATGGCCCATTTTGTCCATGGCCCATTCTGCAAGGACAGAGCTAGTTACCACTCACTGTGCCCTCCCTGTCTCTCAGCCTGCTCCCCTGCACCTGAGTCTAGCCTGGCTTGTCCCCCAGGGAAGGACTCAGAGAAGGTGGGTGGGCAGTGAGCAGAGCAGGGGAGCAGATGCTGACTGCAGCGTTTTGCTGACCCAGGGTTTTGCAGGAAGTGCTCTCAAGTGCCAGCTGTGCCTGAGCACTGTGAGAATATGGAGGCGATGAGCTGCTTACCTCTGGGAGCTTGCCGTCTGGTTAGAGAGGTTGGGCACCCCACAGACAGGAAGGGGACAGGTGCTGGATGGTGAGGTGCTGGATGATGAGACTCTGCCTCTGTGGGCTGTCAGATAAGGGAGGGCCCCAGAGCAACATTTACATGTCTTAGTATGGCCAGAGACCAAAAATGAGGTCCTCTCTAGTGACCTAGGGCAGGTCCCCCAAGTGGGGGCCGATGGTCCCCTGGGCTGAGAACTCTGGCTGCTTGACAGTGCATGGCAGAAGGGTGGTGATGATCCGTCACCTGGCTGTTGATTCTTGGAAAGTTGCACTTCCCTTCAGGCCCTCCTCTCTGCCCTATCTCCATCCCTTAACCCACCCCATCCCCTACCCCCTATACGGAATGCCAGATTCTCACACCTGCAAGGCCAGTCCCAACCGTGGCTCCGTGGCTCCGTGGCTCCGACATCCAGTTCCTCTCGCATCTTGGCAAACCCAGCAGGAGCACTGGGGAGAGAGCCCTGCGACCCCGGTAGAGGCAGCCACCTTTCACAGACAAGGTCAGCGGCCCCCACCTGGTCCACCATCACCCCGGTATGGCCAATGTGACAGAACTCCTTGACTTGTTCTTAGCTTTAGAAAGTAATCTCTCTCTGGCCTAATGACTCTCTCTATCCACCCCCAGGCCCCTGAACATCACCCCCATGTCCACACAACCCCCTCGTGTCATGAAGCTGGCTTTCTCAGAGAAGCCTGGCACACTATCCCCCACCCCCATCCTGGGACTATTGTGGCCTGAGCCACCTACTTCACTTATGGACTAAGATCCCGGGTGTTTCCCTTCACCTCTTTGAGCAAAGGTGTAGCTGAGTATAGTTTTAACTGTGGTGGAATAATTCACTGCTCCTGCCCTAATTCCAGGCAGATTCTGAATTGAGAGTATGAGGGACAAGTGGTAGCAGAACTAAGCACCCCACATCCACCTGGCTTTTAAGAAGGGCAGAAACTGAGAAGGGGACCCAGGCCAGTGCACGGCATTTGGCCAGAAACAGAAGTGAGGGCCCCACCCAGGCTTCCTCTCAGCCCCATCTGGAGGGTGGGGGCGAGCCTTCCCTGGAGGAAACCTACATGTGAGTCTGAGCACCTACCCGATATAGGGCAGTCACCAGCCAGCTGTCAGGGGTGCTGGATTTTCTTAGGCACCAAGAAGGCGGGATTAGATTCACAACAGCCACAGGGTGACCCCAGCCACGTGACTGAGAGTTAGGATGCACCCCCAAGTGGTCCTGACTCGATCACCAGAGTCCAGACTTCTGAGGACCCCAGGACCAAACAAAGTGTCTAGTTTAGAGCAGAACAGGAGAACTCTAGTCATATTGCTCAGACAAGTGCTGAAAAGTCCTCTTTGATCCCTGGAGCTAAGATAAGGTCTAGCAGGCCATAGTGCCCTGGAGCAGGGAGCTGGTTCACAAACAGACTTGTGTGGCTGAGCTCCCCTCTGCATGGAGGTCAAGTTAAAGATGATCTGTGTCCCACCCCCCAAGGGCCTTCACCCCTCAAAACTGCAGGTGGCCTCCAGGACACAGGTGAGGCATCCTTCCCTTTGAGAACCAAGCCAAACCTCACCCCACTGAGGCCCTGGGGCCTGTAGCAGCAGAGCCATGTTGCCTGGGGGAGGGGTGTCACAAGGGCTGAAGGCAAGGGCAGGGTCCTATACAGAGTCCAGAGCATCTGCAGCTTTTGCTGCCTTCCCTCAGTGTCCCCCAATACTTTCTTGGCATGTGGTGCTGGTGCCCTGCCGTGGGCAAGCTCTCCCAGACTTCCTCCCCGGGCCTCAGTTTCCCCCCTGCAGGCAGCCTAATATTGTGGAACCAGTCTGGGTTCCGGGCACAGACAAACGTGGGTTGGAATCCAGGCCCCACACTGATTAGTGGGGTCATCTCGGGCAAGCGCCTGATGCCAGTTGAGCTCTGGTTTCCAGATCCGTGAACAAGGGGCTATGACGGGTGCCGGTGTCATGGTGCATGTGGGGTGTTCGGCACAGTGCCCGGCACAGCGTGAGCACTTGAGGACCATGTTGTCACTGCCCAGCCAGACTTTAAGGTCCTTTCCAGTTCCGCCCATTTCTGAGCTCGCAGAGCTGGTTAAAAGATGGCAGGCCGGAAGCCTGCCTCTCCTCTTACATCTAGTCCCCATGTCCTTGCTTCGTTGCCTCCAGTATCTTCCCAACTGAAATTAAACTCTTAGCATTGACCCTCTAGGCCCGCCTCACTATTGAGACTGCAAAAGTGGGGGTTTCTTCTACAACGCCCCACCTCAAGAAAATCAGCAGAAATGGGTCTCTTGGGAACTGCCTAGAGCTAGAAATACCATGTGGCCAGCCAGCTATTCCCTCGTGCTGCATTCGACTTGGCCTCACAAGGGAGCCCTGGCTGACAACGTCTCACTCTGCCCAGAACTTTCACTACCAGAAAAAGGAGGGCACCAGACCCATTCTCCCTTCCCAGGCCTCCTGCCTCTGTGACCCGTGGCACAAGTGAGGATAGGTCAGTGCAAAGTTCCGATGACTCACAGGAACCCTCACACGATGGGGTTAGTCATGCCCAAGTTAAGAAAGGGTGTTATATCTGACAGACACAAAGGCTCCTGAGGAAACCTGTGCTCCGCTAATACAAGGATTTTTGGATCCGTGCAAACAGTGTGAAAGAAGAACAAATGGTTCCAAAGAATGACAGCCTGGGCGTGACCAGCCCCACCAACCAGGGGGCATCACTCTCAGAGGAAAGGACTCTACCTCAACCAGGCCCTGGCCTTTTCCTGGGACTTTGGTTCTGTTTTTGGCAGTCCCCACCTGAGACTTCCAGGGAGATCTGAGAAAGCTCTTATCTGTACACAGTGCATTGAGAGATGTTCAAAACCAATATACCAAGAAGGGATGGTTTGCCTCTGTCTTCCCTAAAGATCTTCTGCTGTCATGAGCCTCTGTGTGGGCAGCCAGCATATTAGCCTCTGGCTTTCTTCCTATTGCCAAGTGAGCTGAATGAATAAACCAGCTCAATTAAAGTGACACCTTTGGAGTATGGCAAAGAAATCCTGTGACTAACCAGAAATGCCTTTGAACATCTATAGACTTGGCAGAGTTCTAGCTGGTGTAGCTGAGCCCCACTTTGCCACTTCACCCCATTGGGAAGTGGTCCTCGAGGGCAATGATGTCATCATAATCCCAACAAAACATGTTTCAGTGACCTCCTAGTGCCCTCAGCCAAGAGTTTCCACCATTTGTGCTTAGACTGAAACTCTTGGAATGACCCACAAAAGCACTGGCAGAGCTTTAGAATGACCTTAAATTATTATGCCCAGATTTGGCTGAGATTGTACTGATGTTGCTCCATTTCAGGCACTGTTTAGCTAGTGAGTTAGTGTCAGCTGCCACCACCCTTAGGTGAGTGGGCAGACCTTACTGTTTTTCCTGTCAGGCATGGGCTGAGGTCCATGGTGGAGTATGGTGGGACAGCTCACCTTTCTGGAAAGTCTTGCTCTATCCCATATTCCTCCACATCCCTAGGACCCAGTTTTCTTACGATGCAGAGGGGGATAGGACATTCCATGGAGTTAGTCCCAATCGTTTAGGACTCCTGGGGTAGGAAGAGCTGGAGGAGCTCAGATTGGGAGCCAACGGAAGGAATTCCTCTCCCTTTTTGGTAATTTCCAACTGATGAACTTTGTTTATTAGAACTTGAGAGACTTCCACGGCTACCTGGGACTTCAACATACCCACTGCCGACTCTCCATCAGGGATTAGGTTGAAGAACAAGAGTGCAGAAACCAGAAGCAATCTCTATTTCTGGGTTGCATCCCTTCCCTTCCATCTCTCCTCAATTCATTCTACCTGGCTCCTCACCACCCCCAGCCATCCTTATCTGGAAAAGCCAGCCACTAGAAGACCTTGCCAGGCCCCCAGTTAGAAGCCATAGGAAGCTAGTCACCCCGATCTGACTCTTCTCAGTATGGGCTGGGCCCTAGAAGATCTGGGAACACTCATCTTATCCATTCCTCTACTTCTAGGTGAGGCTACTCTTGAAAAATCCAGGTGGATCATCTGATGGGCAGAACTGAGACTGGGGTCTATTCAGGCATCCGCATGCAGAATACCCCCCACCCCCAACCCCACCCCGCCAGGTCACCTGCTACTCACACAGCATGTCCAAGATCAGAGAACAATACTTCTTGACCTTGGCAGAGAATGTCAGATGGACCTTCACCCGTTTTCCAGTTTTTTTTTTGTTTTTTTTTTATCATTTTTTCACTTAGTCTTCTCTTCCCCACCAAGGGCTCACACTCCTTCCAGAGGGCTGGGCCTAGAGAGGGGATCACAGTCCAAGTGGATTCTGGGACTAAGGACACAGATGTATCCACAGGGCTTTTTTTCTGAGCAATCCCCTTACTGCCATAGCCTCAGTCTCTGGCCGATGCTAGTGATTCCAGCTGACTTCCCTTGGCCCAGCCTGCCTACTGCTTGGTACTGCTTACACCCCAGGACCAGAGACTATGGAAGGAGATGAGAAAAGCCCAGACCTTCCAGCGACTTGGGTTTTATCTAAAGGCAGCTTTGCCATATATCAGTGGTTCCCAGACTGTGGTTTTCAGAAACACTGTTCTGATCAAACATACCCCTTCACAGAGGTTCTGTGTGCATTGGCACAGCCAGAACCCTGAAAGGACATGAAGGGAAACCTGCCTCATGGAAGGTCATCCAACGTTTCCTAACACATTTGTGCATAGACCTGTCTCACAGTACAATGCAGGGCTGGTATTCAGCACTAATAGTTATTGTTGGCTGTCAAAAAAGTAAAATACTGTTGAACTGGCAGGTAAATAGCCCCGAGCCCACCCCCAGTGTTCTCTCGCCACTCCAGCTCCTCATGCAGTATCTACCTGCACTGTCCAATATGGCAGACACTGTTCACATGCCTATCAAAATTTTAACCAATTAAATTTAAATTGCAGTTCCTCCATGGCACTGGCCACAAGTCAAGTGCTCAGCTGGCACACACGACTCTGCTACTGCCTACTGTGCTGGACAGCAGAGAGAACATTTCTGTCACCACAGAAATTAGACATCAAGGAAAGCCTGGCACAGCAGACCTCAGGGACCTTTTCTGAGCTGGAGCCTGTTCTAATTGTCTGCGACCAATTG